AAAGTCTGAATGATATTAACAGCAACAGCAAGAAAATGTGACATCCATGCAGCATCGCCCTGCAGTCACACTTGGGCTGCAAATTATGATTATTTATTATAGTGTTTAAGTTGACTTATTACATTTGTCTCGTCCAACGGGTAAAAAAAGTTCTTAAATATATTTAATTAACTATCATAGAAGCTTGGTCACATAATGTGTTGTGAACTGGTACAGTTTGAACCGGTTTTGGAGTGCACTCCACAAGTAGCCAAGGACAAAGTGTTTTTTTACAGATTAGTTTGTGACGAAAGTACACAATCCTCCGACCCACAGCAGCAGTTTCTCGTCCTGTGATTGATCTTTCAGATGTGTTGAAGCCTACAGCTGTGGTGATCTTCTCCCAGAGGAGATCACCGAGTCTTAATGTTGTTTTCTGTTCTGTGATAGTAAAGAACGGTTGAATCTGGTCCCATCGCTGGCCCATTAACTTTCACAGTGAGAGTGTGTGTGTGCGCGTGTGTGCGTCCATGTGGTAAACAGTTTCTCCAGATCAGCAATATATCGGTACAGCTATGTCACTGCAAGATGTTTTTCTTTTTGTTTTTTTTTATTCTGACATGCTTGTATTTTTAGTAACTGTGCAAAGGAAATAATGAGTAGGATATTCAGAAGATGCTGTTCTGTTAATAACACCACACACACGTCGGTGTAAATAAGATCTGAAGCATCTCCATCATTGGTTTGATTGGTGGGAACGGGACACAGCTCTTTCTGCTTAAGTTAAAAGGACATTTTTTTTAAACTGGATTATTAAACTCATCTCTGTCATTGTACTAGCCAGCTGCTGTAATGAGAGGGAATAAATGAAATGAGATGCCAGGTCTAAGTATTCCAGTATTTGAAAAAGTATTTATAGAATATGTACAGCTTTGGCAATATAATAAAGTTGTCGCAAATAAAGCTCAGCCTAGTTTATTGTCTGTCCGAAAAATGTAAAAAGAAATGTATAAAGAAGTGGAAGACAGAGGTTTTTGGAGCTTTGAAGATTTATTTTATCAAATGGTGTGACTATTCAAACTTTTTGCGTTTTTACAAAATGCAAGTTTGCTGAATATTTGAATCCATATTGAACAGCAGCACAACCATCAAAAGTATTAAGACTGAAGGAAGGAGGAGAAAGGTACATTATTATTATTATTAAGTCGACCTGCAAGCAAAGGTTTAAGCAGCCACAGAGGATGAAACATCAGTCGTATCCATCACAGGTAAGCGAATGCCTCATCAGGATTTACCTGCCTGGTTTTGCTATGGGGAGTACATCCATATTGTCTTTAGGTTACATAAAAATACAAAAAACAAGGCGGTCTCTGGATTGTCTCTGGGCTCTTTGGCTACAGGAAAAGATTTGAAAGTTTCACTAACATCAGTGAGCAGGACTCACAATGTCCAATCTCTAGCAGCTACAGAGAATAAAGCCATCACAAACTCCATATTGAAAACTGAGCACATTGTGCTTTTAAAAAAAAGATAAACACAGTTTCAGTTTATTTATTACAGAAAGTATTTTATCATTTAACCCTGGTAAACATGGGGATTGGATCTTAAATGCCCAAGATACCTTTCTCTGAAACCTGCCCACATCCTAGTACGATGGGGAGAATTTAATGTACGCTGCAAAATATTAAAAATGACACTTGAGAAGACACAACAGAACTGTATCTCTGTAGAAATAGTTCCCGTTAATCTGGATAATCCACAGAACTCCTGTAAATAGTTTTCTGGTTAAAAAAAATAAAAACCTGTGGATTATTCAGATAATATTTCAGGAAATACAAGCTGCTGTTGATGTGATCCTTTGTGCACATCAAACAGGCACTAGTAAAAGCATACAGCCATTGCATTCATTCATGCATCTCCAAAATGTCAACTCTTTAGTAGCCAACATAAACAGGCCAGTTTTCCGCTTTGCGACGACATGTTTCTAATAATAAACACGTGTTTTTACATGGTTTATCTTAAGAAGAAGAAAACAAAATGCCTAATCCTCCAGTTTGTCTGAAAACATTTGGAAGCACAACATTTGGAAATGCACGGCAAAAACCTCGGCAGATAAAGGGAAAGCCGTTTGGCCAGACGACACCAGGGTTAAGTACACATCTTGTCAGTTGTAAGTTTAAAGTTATTTCATACTGCGTTTCTGGCACGGCTACTGTACTGTAGCTTGAGGCGTTTTGAATTCAGACTGCGGTTCTACAGAATGAAGGGAAAGTCAAGGACCTCACTTTCTTTGTGTAGGCACAGGATTAGACAGAGGTAGAAAGATACTGTAGCAGGCAGTAAGAAGACAAAAAAATCTCAGTAATGGAAGAAATTTTGCATTTTGGGCTGAGTCTGAAGTCACTCCCTTCTTCATTAATTCCTGTTTACAGTAATAGAGACTCTGTTTACTATAGTGTGCAATAAAAACACATTGCAGACTTGTGATTTATCGTCAAACAAAATGCCAGTAAATATAGTTAGTGATTTCATCAACATTTAGAATGTCTTGAGTCAAATATTAAAACCAGAGAGGTGGGAATGGTAACTTATTAACTTATTTTAGAAAACTTATAAATTACACAATATCATAATGTGGAGTACTCAGGACAATGTATAAAACCTCTTCAATTTAAGTTAGAAACATTTTTGATGCTAGTCATCATGAGCACCTTAAAGGTTTTTTTCCTACTTTTTGCATTCAAGCGTTGCACATGTGAAATGTTTCTGTCATTATTTAAAGCATCCTAATTCGATCATTGTGTATTTCATCAAATTGTTTCATTTCATGATTTGATGCCCGATTACTTCAGAGTCAGAGATTTAGCTCTTGACCTGATTCCTTCAATGTCTTTGCAATTTCTTCAGTCTGTCTGTCTTCAGAGCAACATTTAGCTTAACTCGTAGTTTATTTAACTGTCCGACATTGCACAGGCTGTAAAGCTACCTATTTAAATGTGGCAGTTCCCAGAGCTCATGCGTCATTGTGGACCGAGTTGCGGAGTATCCGGAGGCGAGACATGACCTCGTCCCAGTCCAGGTAGGCTCCCTCCAGGTGTCGCAACCTGTCTGGCCTGCTAATGTAGCTCCTCCGCCCGTGCAGCAGACGCCAGTTATCGAAGGTCACTATGTCACCTGAAATGCAACAACACCCAGAGATCAGAAACAAGGGCCTGACGTACGCTTTATCTGATCCTACTCATTCACAGAGAGGTCAGAGGTCAGGGTCAACAGCTGAGCAATCGGTAGAGATCAAAGGCCTCGTGCTTCAAACTAAATGACTGAAACCTCCTTACATTCTTTGTCCTTTTTGTGAAATTGGGTCCTTGATCTCAAGACAGAAGTAAACAAACGCAGGCTTCTTATAACTATCCAACATCTGTAGACTGAAAGACTTTTTTCACAGCAGCCATTTTGACATGAAATAGTAGGGTAAACGCAGGTGTTTCCAATAACTTTAATTTTGGGTCCAATCAGGTCTGTCAGGGTGCTGCTATTGCGCATGTTGGCCCTACGAACTAATGTCAAAATGGCTGCTGTCAAAGAGGTTTATGACAACTGGTATTAATATTAATAATAAGCTAATTAAGCTAACGTTAGCTCCTAAATAAATTAATATTTCCAGCTGACTGAATTTTAATCTTGTAAAAGGGGACTTAAAATGTGAACTTTATGGTTTCATAGTTGATATCACGGTAAAAGACAGAAGCTAAAGCTGCATGTACAGGGCAAAAAGTCAGTCTTAGTATTATGACAAGGAAAAATGTTAAGATTAAACTGTTTTATTGCTCTAATGTAACTAGGGACAGATATTGCGATATGATTCAGGATTGTGATTTGGCATCACAAATTAAATTTTCACTAAAAAAACTTAAAATCATGATAATGGGAAATCTTTTTGGGGGTCTGCATTTATTTTTTTTTTCACAGCCTTTTGTATAGCCCCACAAAATAATGTGGTTAAATAGTGAACTGCTTCATGGCCTTGGAAGCAACTATGAGTATCTCATGTTAAAAAGACAACACACCACTTAAACACACGGATAAAGTTTGATGTCGTGCTGACAATGTAGGGACAGATTTGTTTGAAGCAACTCTTTTAGCAACCTCAAGGACGCGTCATCAGGATGGATGCTCTCTAATATGGCGGCCTGAACCTTTGGTGCTGCTGTCGAATACGCCGTCTCCCTACTAATGGCACCATTCTGCTTCGCTTTGATGTCCTTAGTGTCTCGTACAATATCATTACTCCATCTCTGTCACTGCAGACTCTTTGCTGAGCAGTGATTATTTAGAGAGGGTTACACCAGTCTTAGGTAATTTGATTTTGTCTACAGTGACAGAGATGACATTGACTCTGATGTCACCCTGACCTTGATGATGACGGAGATGTTGTTAGCTACATGGCTGTAC